TATAAATATATTTACATATGTACATGTCTGCATTTAGACCTCTATAAATGTCCATTTGCCTCCTAGTTCTTTCCTCTATTTCCTTTTACTTTCTTCTTGTCCCACTATCATGTTTGGCCTTCATTCAGTGGAATCATTCTTAACACCAACTCTTATGTCATTTCCTGTGTCCAATCCATCCTTGGACCTCTGTCCACCTTTCATTCCACCACATGGTGCCCATCAAGTGCCATCATCTCTCGTCTGACAGGCGTCCCCCTACCATCTCTCTTTTTTTTTTCTTTTTTTGTGTGTGGGGGTTTTCCAGAAAAAAACCCCAGAAAATCTGCTAGACAGATTTTTAAAAAGCTGTAACACTACCACCTCTTCTCCGCATAGTAGTCCCTGATGGTCTTTTAACACTGCCAGTCTGATCATGTCACCATCTGCTGGACCCTTTCTACAACTTTCCCACGCTCTTGCAATAGAGCCCAAATTCTCAGCACGGCCCCGAAGTGAAGTGCTTGGATGGTCTGCTGCTCCCCCACCTCCGGCACTGTATTCACTCTTGCTATATTCCAGCTCTGCAGGGCATGCTTGCCCCGGGCCTTTGCACAAGCTATTCTCTCTGCGTGGCCGTCTTCACTTCTGCTCCTTCTGATCTCAGCCCCAGCGTTGCTTTCCAAGGCTCACCTTCTCCACCTTCCCTGCCCCCATCACATTTCCTACTACCCACTCTCCTAGCACCACACGGTTCTCACTCCCTCATTGGCGAGCATTGCCAGTGCGCACTTATTTGTAAGACTCTTGAATCAGTGTCCATTTCTTCCACCAGACTGTGAAGGCCTGTGTCAACTTTTGCTCACTGAACACCCCCATCGCCTCACTCAGGGCCTGGCACAGGGCAGGTGCCCAACAAACATCATCTTGGGAAGGAGTAAGTTTCTGCTGCACACTTCTACCCGTCTCGATGGCCCAAGCCTAAGACTCCAGCATGCCTCATCTGGACCTTGGTAATTGCTGGGATTCCAGTTCACAGTCAAGTCCCTACCTACCCAACAGCCAGAGTGATCTCATGAGAACACCAGTCTGTTCATGCCACCCTCTCTTTAATAGCCTTCTGTGGTTTCCCCGGCAATAACCCCCCAGCTCCTGACCACAGCCTTACACGGCTCTGGCTCACCTTCCTGGCAGACTCGACATGATTCGTTAAATACTGTGTGTCTTAGGTTCTGGACACTGAGGGATTCAACAGCGAGCAAAAGCAGAGCCACTGTCGCAGGACTCAGCCCTCCGGACACTCAAGCAAAGTGCACTCCTTCCCACATGAGTGGGGGGGGGCCTTTGCATAGGACCTCTCACACTGACATGGATTGAGTTGTGCCCCTCCCCCACCCCCATCCCCTCCCCACACCAAACATGTGTAGGAATCCCCCAACCCTGCCCCTGTGGATATTTGTGTTTGGAAATAGCATCTTTAGATCACACAGCTACCTGGTGGGGTCATGGGTTGTTGAGCTGCTAACTGCAAGATCAGCAGTTTGAAGCCACCAGTGGGGTGAAGACTTTCTACTCTGGTCAAGATTTAAGAGTCTCAGTTTTGAGAATGATGAGGGCAATATATGTCCAAATGCGCTTTACACAATTGATGTATGTATGGATTGTGATGAGAGTTGTATGAACCCCTAATAAAATGATTAGGAAAAAAGTCTTGGAATCCCACAGGGGCCGTTCCACTCTGCCCTATAGGGTTTACTATGAGTTGGCATTGCCTCGATGGCAATGAGTTTTGGTGGTTTTTTTAACATTTTATCAGGGGCTTATACAACTGTTATCGCAATCCATACACACATCAATTGTGTAAAGCGCATTTGTACATCGTTTCTCAAAACATTTTCTCTCCA